AAACGGTGGAATATTCATGACTACTTTTTGCAAAGTAAAATGCGAGATACAAATAAAGTTCAGTAAAAAAAATATCTGAAATAATCGCAGATATTTCTTCTCGAAAAATTACTCAAGTCATTTCCAAGGATTTGACATTTGACGGAGTTGAAATTTCAATAAATTCTGGACAATTCACCGATAAAAAATTGCCAAATTTTTTTCCAACTATCCGAGAAAACCGGCGGATCCGTTCGTTCTTTTAGGAATAAATACTCGTAAAAAATCGCAAATCTGCATCACGCGAAGACGATGAAAGTGCGTGTAAACAAAATGCCCGTTGATTTCTCGTTAACCGTTATGTACATGTCAACATGAACCGTCTCCGTTAGGATGTCGGCGCGTGTAAAGTAACCGTCAATTTAAAACGTTTATTATCCCCGACGGCGACCAAAAAAGTGTGAAAAAAAAGCATGGCCACGGGATAAAAATAAAAAAATAAATAAATAAATGGAGGGACAAGGTCGTAGGTCTCTCGGTTGCGTTAACGATATCATTTATTTTATTATTATTATCATTTGGCAATTGAGCTTATCTAGATGCTTGGGACACTTCTCGGTAAGTTGAATCAAGATACTAAGAAAAACGGAGTAAATTGATTCCCGTGGCTACTCATCGGTAATCGAACATCATCGACGTTTTATTTTTCTTTCTTCTCGGAATTGACGGGCATTTTTTTTACAGCAACGATGAATTACGATGTGGAGGTGCAACATCTGGTCGATTTGCAATAATGGGAGGTGAGAGGAATAACGAATGAAATATCAGTGGGGTATGAAAATTGCGATATCTCCTGACTTAACCCTGCGATTTCGGCGGATGAATTCTCATTTTCAAGCTTGAAAAAATACCTTTGAAACGAAAAAATAAACGGCGAATTTCACTGTGCCGTTATTGAGATATTTACGATTGAACATGACCGACTTTATCCCACGCGTTGCAATCATCGAATTCGATTCTGTTCCTTAATTATGAATTGATTTCGGAAACTATTGGGTTTCGCAGAAAATGTGTAAAAACTTTTTTTTAAGAGGATTAAATTTCCCACAAAAAATGTGAAATGACTTCCCCTCTGGATCCACTCTATATCGGGATAATTCAGGGGTCAACTTCGCGATAAATCGAATCGAGTCGATTTTTTTTATCCGATAAATAAAACTTAAACAATAATCGCGTGGAATTCGTGCCGATGATTCAATTGCTCAGCAGAAGGCAGCAATAGCTGATAGCTCATATCTAAATAAAAATTCAAAATTTTTCAATTCAACTATTTTTCACCATTTGTTATCCCCAGGTCAAAGTCTCGGAGCATCGTCTCGATGAACTCTCGTTTATACCCCACGATAGGACACGTATCTTTAAATCGCACTATTACGTGGGTATTACGCATTGAATTAAAGCGAGAATTAAAAGTGAGATGGGTTAAAAATAATATTTCACGACAAGACCTTAACCCCTGGGGATGACACCACAAATCAGCCGATTATCTAATTGCTCTATCATTTCTCCGACATCTCCCTCAAAAATAAAATGCAATAAAGTCAACCGATTTTCTAAAAATTTATCATTTTAGACTTGGGTAAATAGCGAATAATTAGCAGTATGAATAATCATCGGAAGTTGTTTAATTCAACAAGTGACTCGGGTATGACTGGACCCCAATCATTATTTCATGACTAGACTTCTGTCATCTGAGTCATGCGTACGATAATGCGAATTCTTGGTTAAAAAATTTTTTTTTTGATTCAGAAAACCTGTTCGGCCGTGAAAGTACAGTCTAGCCATTTCCGTTTCGTTTAAGGACATGTTTTATTGACATTCCAGGGGATTTTTTAGACTTGAGATTGTTGGGAGACCAATGAAGACATGAATTTCACGTTTTTTTT